GTGTGTGTGTGTGTGTGGGTGTGTGTGTGTGTGTGTGTGTGTGTGTGTGTGTGTGTGTGTGTTGCTGGCATCTTGAAGAAATGGTCTCTCAGAGAAAAGTTGGACAAAATTCCTCCTTAAAAAGAAAAATGGGGTAAAACAAAGCAAAAATGATTCAGTCTAAAATAACAAAAAAGCAGTTTATTTGTGGCCTTTTAAGGTTTTATTCAATGAACCAATTTATCTTTTTTATACTTTCAGCTATTCAGCTCATTATTTTTGTAATTAGCTATATTTTTCTTACTATAAATAAATCATAAAACAACAAATAATATACAGTGTGTTTTAATTATTTTATATAATTAATTTCCACTGAGGTTTTGCACATCGATCCAGTTTTAAAAACTCTGTTTCTTTAAATAAAAAGTTAATGTAATTTAAATGTTTAAAACTATTTTATTCTTCTCTGTTTAATTCCTGCTTTAACTGGACCTGCTGGCTTTATTTGTATAAAATCTGTTTATCCAGGAATTTGATGTATTTGGTATTTTATTACTTGATAAGAAGGCAGGTTCAGACCAAACTAATATTCCTCTGATGTTGTTATTATTCCTGTGATGAGCGCGCGGACTGCAGCTGACACCTTCCTTTAGATTTCTTCAGTTTGTTCTGCAGAGTTCCTTTCTGTCAGCCGGCCTGGTCAAACCGGACCCCCTGCAGGGGTTTTGTAGCCTCAACCTTTTTTTTTTTTTTTTTTTTTTTTTTTTTTTTGTATTTCTGTCCCTGCCCAGGCGCCGCTAACGAGGCGCCGCCGGGAGGCGCAGAAAAGCGGCCCGCGTGCGTCCGTTTGTTCCTCCGCCGCGCGCTCATTAAGGCCGCGCGGGCTGCTAATGAAGAGCTGAACTCAGGATTTTCTGTTCCCCCCATCCTGGACCAGAAAAAGGTTCTGGTTTTGTAAGAGCGGCTGAATGGCAGCTCTTTGAGTGGGAATTAAAGCGGACAGTTAATCTGATCATCAACACATACAGGTTCTGGTTCTGGACCCGGTTAATCCCGACCCGTCCATCACAGGCTGATCAGCTCTTTGCAATTATTTCTCCAAAAGCAATATTTAGAAATGACTTAGTATTTAGTATTTTATAAACACAACACAAATGCTCCTTAAAATAAATAAACCTGTTTAAAGATGCAGAATCAAGCTGCAGATAAAAAAAACAACAAAACTTTCATTTAAAACATCATGAATTTACAGATTATTTATAAAAAACTGTTTATCTTTATTTACTTGTAACAACGGGGATTAGTAGCCTGAGGATCTTTGGAGTTTTTTAATTATGAAAAGAATTTCAATTGGAATATATTATTCTGATATGCTCTGATAACACCAAGAATTAAAATGAAATAATG